TGCAACATGGAACAATATTTTTACAACACAACATGGCACCATATTTTTATTACAACCAATGCAATATGGCATCATATTTTTACAACTAATGCAACATGGCACCATATTTTTACAACCAACAAAACATGGCACCATATTTTTTTTACAACCAATTAAATATGGCACCATATTTTTACAACCAACACAATGTGGTGCCATGTTTTTTGCAGCCAATGCAATATGGTACCACATTTTCTAAAACCATCACAATATGGCACATTTGTTTTTACAACCAACACAATATGGCAACATATTTTTCAATCAATGCAATATGGCACTTTGTTTCTATAACGCTATTTTTTACACCCACACATCATTTTAGCTTGGACACCAGAGAATCATATCGTAAGGCACGGTTTGTAGAGCGCCCTCAGTTGGTTTCAGAACAACGTATAGAGGGCGCTTACAGACACCAAGCAACTTCATCTCAAACAGCAAAATTTAATAAGGTTACGATGTCATTTTATTTTTACTCAAGTGGTAACTCATTGTTGCCAGAATGAACAGATTTTAAAAATTTACTAAAATGAAAATTTTCACTAATTTTTGACAGTTCAAGATTTTTTTCTCTCACAGATACAAAAATCAATTACTGTACAATACTTCATTTTCAATTGATATCAAATTCATTTTTTTCTTAAAATCCAATGTTGTGTAGCACTCTCACATTTCATGCACATTGTCAATCAGTCACCATGTGATCAATAACACAAACAATCAGGTTTTCTACAAAGCATACCGTGCATTTTATTTGTACACATAATTTTGATTTTAAAATATATCCATATATTAAATTATCACACCTTCATGTAAATATCATCAAATCCTGTGACAGCTGTGTGATTGAGATCTGATCTCGTCTATATATATATATATATATAAATAACTACAAAGTCTTTTAAATTCTGAAAATGCAAAGGTATGAGAAAAACATCTGTCATATTGTTGCCTAGTATTAATATAGACATGTAATCAAGCCATGTGTTTATGTGTTCCGGAAACACCCTGTACAACTCTAGCTAATTACACCTAGGAACAGTTTTTTCTCAGATTGTTGTGTTCACTTGGTTCTGATTTATAAAGTTATGAACCACACGGCCAGTATTGTTGTTCATACACATCTAATGTGAATTTATCAAATGATTTTTTTTCCCTTTTAAAATCAAAGTTAATAGATTTGTGTAAAATTATCAAAAGTGAATGCTGCTACTGTATCAGACACAAATTTGGTGGGAACAATGGTTAGCTATGGTAACACACTACCATTGACTGGAAACTATGACTAAGAAACGTATTTTTTTTAAGAAAACACTAGAAGTGTTTGATCCGATAACATGAACTTGTGAACAAAACTTCACCAATGTTAACTTTGTCCAGAAGGGGCTATAAAAGTACATACACATATTAAATAACTTGATTCGCAAGGAAAGATGCCAAGCTGCAAAACTAAAAATATTGATGATTAAATTTATAATATGTAATAGTACTTGTCTGATGAGTAAAAATGCAGACTACCCCGATCATCATTTTCTGTTCTACAGCGTTACATACATGTAACAATTCAACACAAGTACAGACATCCATAAGCTATCAGTTATTAATTGTAACATTTTGTTTAAATATATAATCAGGATTAAACTAATCTCAGCATGGTTTAAAGTGATTGTGATTTATTACTTTCATAGATTTTCTGTGGTCACAAAGAAGATGGTACAGAGCACTATCCCCAAGTTGACTTATTAAACTTAAAACCACAAAATAATCCTCTTTTTATCTTACCAAAATATTCAAAATTGAAGTAAAAAAAGGGTTATAAATGTGAAAACATTTTTGTCAGGAGGATCTGGTGATGAAAAGATTCACACAAAAACTTTATAACCCAAAAACATCATAATCTTTTTCTATTTCGAATTCATGAAAGTTTGTGGTGCCAACCAGGTCATCTAAAAAACATGGATTCTGTGGTTCTCTCTATCACTCACAACAATATTTCCATTAGACATCATTGCAACACCTTCAACGCCCTTTAGCTGGCCATTCCCAGCACCAAAAGTACCGAAACATGCCATGTAGGTACCAGATGGACGAAACACCTGGATTCTGTTGTTTCCGCTATCACCGACGAGGACATACCCATGTGGATCTGTTACTATTCCTCGGGGATACTTGAACTGGCCGTAATTACTGCCCTCTTGACCAAATTTCCACTGGAACTGGCCATCAAGATTGAAGACCTGGACACAGTGGTTTCCACTATCACTGACAAAAACTTTATCATCATGGATTGCCACATAATGTGGGCTTTCCAACTGGCCTGCGGAGTGACCTAATCGACCAAACTTTCTGATAAATGTACCACTAACCGTGAACACCTGGATTCTATGATTATCTCTATCACATACATAAATATTATCGGCCCTATCACAGGCTACTCCCCATGGATAATTCAACTTTCCATCTTCGCTACCTTCCTGACCAAACTTACACACAAACCTACCACTAGGTTCTATAACCTGAATACGGTGATTGTATCTATCAGCTATTATGATTTGAACTCTTGAGTTTGTACATACACCAGCCAGGCAGTCAAACTGCCCATCCCCTGTCCCATGAGTACCAAAACAGCATAAAAATTGGCCAAATTCATCAAACACCTGCACTCGATGGTTGCTACTATCAGCGACTACAATCTGATTATCGGGAAGTGTAGCAACTCCCCTTGGCCATGAGAAACAAGCATCAGTCGTGCCTTTTTTGCCAAATCGTAAACGAGATCGTCCTTTTTGATTGTAATTGACAAAGGGTCGGGGTTCATTTGTATTTTCTCTCCGACCTGTGGTAACAGCAGCACTATCATTGTCCTCAACTATAATGAATTCATCACTATTATCATCCAACCGTATATCAAATCTACGCGGCCTTGGTCTGGGACCAATTGTTAAATTACCAGCAGGATTTCTGAATTCAGTACTAACAGTCAGGGCATGTTCTTGCATCATTGTTCTTGTTCTAGGACGTTCAGTAGAATGATCATTACCTGTTCCATTCACAACAGGACTTCTGGAATTACTGGTTGATGTAGGAATAAGTGAAATATGCCCTTCAGTTGATCCAACTGGGGAATCTTCTAGTCTCCCGCTATTGCTTCGAACACCGTGATTTGCAGCTGGAATGAGTGAAATGTGTCCTTCTCCATGGAAGTCCCTTGTTCTGTTTCTTGTTCTTTCACCAATTGTCGAATTACCAGCTGGATTTCGGAAATCCAGTTGATTGTCATTGGCTTCAGAGATCCTTACTAAATCGTTTGATGCTCCAGTGCCCATGATTGGCCTGTCCCACTGTCGTCTCCTATTTCTACCCCTACCAATTCCTCCTGCACTCCTACTAACTTGTGGTATATTGATACTTCCACCAAGATCTTCCATATCCCTGAACATCAAGCTGGGATTTCGAACATCATTCGCCGACGATCGGCGGCCGAGAGGGGATGTATGAGATGATTCCAGGTCAATCCCCCGATGGTTTCCATACATTGCATTATTCGCATGATTGATTTGTAAGCTGATATAGTCACTGCTCGATGGAAGGGGTGGTGTATGTCTTGACAAACCCAATCCCCTCGAGTTTGGCCTAGAATTTGATTGGTTGCTCTGGTCAGATACACTGACTTCACCATAAGACATCACGCTTGAGAAAAGTTCATGCCTATTTGTCTCTGAAAATTTAACTTTCTTGTCTTGGTTAACGGCGGGATTCACTTCTAAATTTCTTAACTTTTGTATGTAATCCATGCTCTGCAAAAACAGAGTGCTTAACTCATGGAGGCCGATGTCTTCTGGCGCATTGTTCAAATGTCTCTCAGTGGCATCACAATGACTACTGATACTAACTAAATCAACTTCTAAACTTTCCTTCTGAATATTCAATGATCTAGACTCGGATAATAAAAACATTTCAACTTCACTGAGAAGCATTTGCTCCCTGTTTCTCAGCTCCTTCACAATTCTCTCAACTTGACCTTGAATTTCAGCTTTGACAGTCTCACAGTGCTGGCCCAGCCTGCTCCTCCTCTGTTCAACCATGGTTAATCCATCTGAAAGTTTAGGCGTATTCCTCCTCAGCTGGTTTATAAACCGTCCAATGTCCAACTTGACTTCATTTGCATGACCAGGTTTACAATTTTCACAAAAGTTTCTTTTGCAGTGTGTACACTGCGACGTGGTACCATCTTGGAGCCCTATTTGACATGTGCCACACTGGTGAAAATTCCCACCACCTTGCATGTTTCGTCCACCGTTTATAGTACTACTTAGAGCCTCAGCGGGGATGTCTAGAAATCTACTTATTGTCACATTGTTTGGAAAGCCTCGAACACCGTTGCCAGGAACTCTGTGTTCCATGCGGCATTCTGGACATTTAAGTTTTCGTACACGGATGTCAATAAGGTTTTCTAAGCATGGACTTTGGCAAAATGTGTGCTGACATGGCAGTATCTTTGGTCTGTTGTATCTCTCAAGACACACAGCACAGTTCAGCAATTCCTCGATTTGTACGGCCATGGTTTTGTAGATTTACTCGCACAAGTTATCAATTTCAATCATCTATGGAAGAAAAATTCATATGGATAATTAGAAACAGACATCAGTACATGGTATATCATGGTATATTTTTAAACATACAAGAGCAAAATTTTAGAAATTAGGGTAGGGGTTGGGGACATGGTAGGTCTGTATGTTGCAAGGGTTTCAATTTAAGTTTCCAATATCATATTAAAAATTTCCTATAGTAGTGCACAAACCAAAAATCAATAAAATACACTAACGTATGGAATAGACACACCTAATTTATACCTGAGTGTATAATAAATAAGATATAAACAACTGTTTGTTGACTTCAATATACAATGGTTTCAGGTACAATGGATGCTACTGAAAGTAATTTATGAATTTTTAAAGAACATTTCAGAATCTCAAAACAGCAGCTGAAAACTGTCTGACCTGCAACCACAGCAACTTTGCATGTCAGCAAATTTGACGTCACTACTAGTAGTGCGAAATAGCCATGGTTTTGTCGCTCCTGGTGACATTTTGACGATCAGACGAATGGTAAAAACTAGTAGTGAGTACATTTCAAATGAACTGCCAAAGGTAACTGGAGGGAGAAACAAAAATATTGTGGCAAGTCACCTCAAGTAAGTAAATCAAAGAAAGCTTAGAAAGAACTCCCATGTGCTGAGAGTATTGGAGACACATTAAATATAATTCGAAATTACTTAGCTGAAAACTAATTATGCAAATCAGAAAATTAATATGACCAGATTTGAGTGTAAAACTAATGAGGTCTGCGCAATGTAACAGAAAATCTATGTCTCCAAGTTTAATTGAAATGTGATTAGA